CAGTTAGGTGATGGGTGGTCCGATTTTTTTCGAAAGAAACCAACAAGTAACATGTGTGAATTGAAACCTGTAGCGCAGTGAGTGGGCCTGGTCACTACCTTGGCAGATGTTAAATTTATTCACGCATTTTTGGGGGTGAAAAGGGTCAATCGGTCGGGCTACTGTCGGACATGTCGGACATGTTGACCCTGCATGATTTGCCTTGCAAAGCGTGATGCATTTGACCGCCTTTGTGGCCGCCTGTGTAGCCACCTCGGTTCAAAGTGAACCAAATGATTTCCTTCAGTAGCAAGACGTCCGCAATATTCGCATGACGTATCATATCGTCATAAATGCACGAAACGACACAGTTACAGTCACCGACACATCAATGTAGTTTTTGTATGTTCGCCCATACAGTCCGCAACACTTAGTGCAGGATGGCCAGGATGGCTCATGTTCGCTCTGCTCGGGCCACCAAAACATTGCTTTTGTTTGTTGCCTGTGCAGTTTGTGCGGTGTGCGTCCACCCCAGCACCTTGTTTTCCTTGCCCAAGAAACCAGAGCCAAGGTTGTCAATCAAACCAAGGCATGCCATGACAACTCTGGAAAGAGAAACGCCAGTGGCCGAACCAATTGCCGAATCTTCGCAAATATCATCTGATGATGAAAATAGGATGCGTTTCAATGCGGGTTTGCCTGGAAACAACGTTGTGGCTCTCACAACAGAGGCAGACTTGGCAGAGATGTTGGACCGTGTCACAAAGACTGGTCAGCTCTTGGTGGTCGACTACTATGCGCCATGGTGCAGGGCCTGCCAGAAACTCTTGCGGTACATGCACAAGATCGCCCGTGAACCCGATTTCCGCAATGTTGAGTTTGCAACGGTGGATTTTGACCGCTCGGAAGATCTGGTGAAGAGTAGACAAGTGGATCGGCTTCCCACCTTGGAGATTTACCATGGCCAGGATTTGAAACAGCGTTGGAGCGGCGCAAACACAAAGAAGTTCCTTGAACGCCTAGAGAGCGAGAATGAAGTGGCACAGGATGTGATGAGTGGCTGAGTGCATGTAGACTTTGGACCCTGGTCCATCGCCGCTAGTAGAGAGCCGAGCCATTCCAATGACACCTTGGGAAGCGGGCAATGGCGAAGGTTTTTAATACTGAATTGCAGGAATGTTTTGAACAATCGATTTTTGCCTTAGGATGGCCCAGTGAAGTAAATGACATTTTATCAGAGTAACAACATCGTGTGTTTTCGTGCAGTTCAGAATTTCTCTGCAGCCAACAGATGCCAACTCAATCGGGGGAAGCTGTGTCGACTCTGGCAGAGCTGGCACTGTTTTGCTGCTACATCGATTTGCTTCAATCAATCTACGAACATATCCCGTTTACCTGTATTTACCTCGTGAATGACATGGTAAGAACAACTTTATAGCAATGCCTCTGTACAGTATCAATGTTCACTCGGTCTTCTTTGCTGCGTTGTGTATTGTTCACAGTGGCATGTGAGACTGCTGGAAGACGGGTCATCGAGTTCAACGCTGCGTGTTCAAAGTTTCACATCGAAAGGTTGTGGTTCTAGAGGGCATCCCTTGCACAAGAACCATGCCTTTGATTTTGCCTGACGTGGGGTACAGGGCGTGCAGCGACGGACTTCGCTTGGAACATGTGTGATACTTCCAAAAGTAAAGCCTCTGGGATTGTTTGCCATGAGTCGATTCATTGTTGTATGTAGTTATATATATATGATATGATATGCGTATATATATATATTTATTTATTTATTTATTTATATATGTGCATTAGATGGAATCCAAAGGGGAGCTGATTGCGTGCCATGTTTACCTGGAGGTGTTTGGAATCCTGCGAGACCACTCAATGTGTGGGGGAAAACAATCCCTCAAATCACAATTGACAGGTGCTCAAAGTGGTCATGGCCATTGCTGGAAATCGATTGGGTCGTTGTTTGGCCGTAGAATTTTATCATCTCCTGACCGACCAGCATGGCAAGCCTTGAACACCCGCAGCTCTGCAGAATTTTCTGACTGCTTTCCTCGCTCGGACCAGCTTTGTACAGGAGGCACTGGACAGATTTTGGATGAAACCTGTTTGGTGGCCAGATACGATTTGGTAGATGCGCCCCAATAATCCACATTGCGCGTGATAGCAGTGTGTTGGACATCTCATAACATAGTTGCTTCTGGCGATGCATCGTTGACCCAAACCGAGCTATGTTTGCTGGAGAAGAGTGCAGTGGAGCGGGCAGAAAAGAATTCCGCACATTGTCGGGGGGCCACAGAAGTGTTGCTGCAATATGTTGCCATGACTTCACGTTTCACGACCATGGGATGAAACCATCAGCAATTGCATTGGAGCCACCTTGCCAAGCGCTGAGAGGCTCATGGGTGATCCATTGACAGATCCAACAACTTGGCCCTCTTGGCAAAGAGCATTCCACGGGTCAACTCAGTCAATTCAATCTAGCAAAAGGATGCAACACTGAGATCTTCCCGCACAAACACCAACAGATAAATAGAGACCATTTATAATTACATCACATGCACGCCTGTTTATGCACATACACATACTGTACATACTCAGGCCAGTTTTCAATCATGGACTTTTCGTTCATCCATTTAAGCTCAACAAGAGCAGATAGCAAATGATAGTCTATATTCGCGGACCAGACCAAATTCTTGTTGTCTGACCGGCTGTTGCGGCAATGCGTTTTAGCCTATGGCAGCAGCTGGCTTGCGACCAATATTCATTTGCCGCGTGTCAACCTGAGTGGATAAGTTTATAACAGGACCTTCTCTAAGCCAGCGCTGAAACCATCTTTCGGGATGTAAGGAATGCCGTCTTCCGTTGACGTGATCGCAGACAGTGACAGTGATGTGGCCGAAGTCGTGGACGTCGTTGAGAGCAATTTGGACGAATTCATTGAGTTTGTTTGTTCCTAGATTTTCTCAGTCATTAGCAAGTCGCACGGTTCCAGCCTGAGCTCTTCAGGTGATGGTGGGGATGAAGTAACTTGGCGCGATTTGGCATCCCATCATGCAATGGTCCGCAAGCTGCAAGAAAAGTGGGTGGGACACTTCACTGCAGGTTGCAGAAGTAAACCTTCCAGCTGGTGCTCCACCTTTGAGTTTCCATGGCTACCGCCGCGGCCGTGAACTTGGCCAAGGAGGTTCCAGCCAAGTTTTTGTTTGCAGTCGTCCCCTTAGTTTATGCGGCTGGCCAAAAGGCCTTTGCATAGAGAAAGAGACTTGCCTTTCGCCCTTTCGCACTGCTGCCTTCTGACTCAGGCAAAGCTGGAAGCCAAGTTGGGTTTGCTGCAAAAGCTGTGAATCTTCGGCGGCTACAAATGAGCCCAGACGTGGAGAGGGAGTGGAAAAAACTATGTCGCGAGGCCTGAGCAGTGCTGATAGTTGTGTTTTTATTCAAAAAGACCCGAGAAACACAGAGAAATGGACGATGCTCCTCGTGTTGCCAAAAAAAGCAGCACTGGTAGGTTGAAATTTGGAAGCAATTGCCTGCACATCCAAACATCGTCCAGAGACTTGGCATGCATGGTACCTCGCATGTTGATGTTGTGGATTTGTTGTTGTTGATAGCTCCCACTGAAGCTGACAGCCTGCCACATCTGGAACAGAGACTGAACGGATTTTTCGTTTTGTGAGGCTAATTGATTCCTTCCAAGAAGGAGGCTGGTTCTTAATGGTCTTGGAGCTTGTGGGAGGAGGCGATCTCTTTACAGTGCTGGACTTGGGAGCTGCATACGCTGAGTTGTTGAACATTGTTTTACATAGTTTTACCGTGTAGCGGAAAGTTCCAAGGTACTCACATCGCGGCCAAATTCGCGCTTCCTGGATCGGGAAGCAGCCTTTGTTGGCAACCAGTTGGTTCAAGGCCTTTCCTTTCTCCATGGTCGAGGCGGGAGTACGGGGGATGACTGGAGGATGTAGCCAATAGCTTGGCATGGCGGTTGCACGTGGGATGCAACTTGGACCCATGGGAATGGAGCTGCGAGGTGTTGTCCACCGAGATGTGAAGCTGGAGAATGTGCTCGTGGCTTCGCAAAAGCGGGCGTATGCGAGTGGCCCGTTGCTCTACAGCGTCTCACACTTAGCAGACTTAGCAGAGCCCTTTCTTGTCAGCACTGTGTTGAACTTTTGGATATCTTGATTGCAAGGGTGGCCGATGGTGGCCAGTCATGGTCTCTAGGTCAAGATCACCGATTTCGGTTTGTCTCGTACTTTGGCTTGCACCTGGTGTAGCTGGGTAAGGCTGGCAGCATCTTACAAGGTTTCTTAGCGGCTAGGTGGGGCCTGACTGGCCCAGGAAAGTGTGAACCAATCTGCGGACACCGTCGAATCCCAAGGATTGCTGGATCCAGCTTCGTATGCTCAGTCCACGGTGGGGACTCAGCCATATTGTGCACCAGAAGTTCTCAGCTACTTGGAATGTCGCCGAAACACCGTGACCAGTCAGTTCTTGGCATAGTGCTTCGAAAGCTGCTTCACAATACTTCCCGTGAATACCAGTTGGACTGGATGTTGGACAATGTTGGACTGGTTCCAAATGTCAGCACCTGCCAGACATAAGTTCCTCTTGCCCCAAGCCTAGGAAAAGGATCATACAATTTCAGTGCGGATGTTTGGTGCCTTGGGGTTCCTGGCTGCATTTGTGATAACATCCGTGCACTCTTGAGATATATCTGTTTTAGTTGCTAAGAGCGCAGGTCAAACACATGGCACAAATATGGTGACTCATGGCCGCTCAGGTTCTCCTGTTTGTGCTGCTCTCCGGGCATTTTCCCTTCAGCATTTTGCCTGTGGAGCAGAGCGACATGGACCGAATCATCGAGAGCTCGGTTGGTCGCGGGGCCAAGGCCTCATCGGAGACGCCACGTTTGTTGCCCGAAATTGTGGAGTTGGAAGTGGTCAGAGGTTAGAATCAAAAATACGCGGGAACTAACGGGAATGGTCACCTATTACGCATGCACATACATACATACATACCATACCATACCATTACCATACCCTTACCTTACCTTACATTACATTAACACATACATACACACATACATATATAACATTACATAACATTACATAACATTACATAACATTACATAACATTACATAACATTACATAACATTACTTGACATTACTTGACATTACTTAACATTACTTAACATTACATAACATAACATTACATAACATTCCATAACATCACATAACATCACATAACATAGCATAACATAACATTACATTACATACAGACAGACAGACAGGCGTACAAACATACAAACATACAAACATACAACCATACAAACATACAAACATACATACATACATACATACGTACGTACGTACGTACGTAGAGTTATGTAGATACATTCAGGTTTTGTCATGTTGTGCCACTCTTGTGTCATCCGGCCACTGGTTTCGACGCTGTGCCTGTGTGGCTTCGACGCCCTTTGGCTCAGCGCCAAGCGACTCTGCCAGGGAGTTCTCATCGGCTTGCTCCAACTTCAGCCAGAATTGAGAAGCACTCTGCAACTGAAGCTGCAAGGAGGAACTCATGCAATGCATACAACATGGAAGAACTCAACCATCAGATGCTTGTGCACCATTTGTCCAATGTGACACAAGTATACACAAGTTACATCAATGTTACATCATAATCATCATACTACATTTTCGCACAGCTCTGTTGGCCCCGTGGTGCCAAGGTCGGAGCTTTTACATCACAAATGGTTCCAGGAGGACGAGTGGGAAGCTATCAACCCATTGAAGCGGCACCGCACACTGTCAACCAGTAACTGGACTTGATTAGGACGTTGCGTCATTGCGAGACAAGGTTTAGGCCAATTGGCCATGAAATAACTGCATCATATCAGACTACCAGCTCTTGCGGCATGTGAAGAGTCTTTCTTTGCAAGAACCGGCTTGCAGGTGATGTGGCTGTAACACAGTCCGGCATTTCCAATGTGGAAGTGGCTTGGGCTCTTGAGCAGTGAGAAACGTTTTCTTTCTGTTTGGTCATGCGTTTTGGCCCGCAACCGTTATTGCCTCGTATTGCCTCTTGGTCACGTCATAAGGCAATTCCACCAGCCAATGCTCAGCTCGAAGAATGCAAGGATGGGTCATGAACTGGTCATGGGTTGGCCTTTGCCGATGCTTCGCGTGGGTTTTTCATGCCTGACGATGCCTGATGCCTGTCGGACGCCCCTCGCACCGTTGCGGCTCCAGGCATCATCCCCTGTGTTTGAAGAAGTGGAGGAGAATTCACCTTTCCCAGGTCACTCTTTTGCACATATCAAACTTGGCAAAATCTTTTGCATTTTTTTCGAAATTGCGAACAGATATGATGATATGACCAGTTTGCAGCTGAGGATCACCGTTTCCCTGCGATTCTCCATTGCATTGCCCATCTCCATTTGATGACGGACAGTATTGTCTTGGCTTTCAACATCGCCTCGTGTTCGTGTGACTCACGTGAATGTATTGCTTTGCCCTGAACCTTACCTCGAATGCGCCAGGAATAGCGTCACCTGGAGTTTGGACACCATTTGCCGTGGAGGCAACATTGAAGCTCAGCGATGTTCAACCACCTGTTGACCTGCAACCAGACTACATGCAGGTGCGAGTTGCCAAATTTCAGAGAGCATTCCAAAGGGCAGCTAGCACCAGCTAGCGGCTCATACAGCAAATGCAACTGCCATTCAAAACTGGCGGTTTGTGGAGGTTCATCTTGTAATTCCAGATCGCTTTGCTGGCTTTATCTTGGGCAAGAATGGCCTTCGCATCCAGAAGACAGCTTCAAAGAGTGGTTGCAAGGCATGAACAAATTCGTCGCAGGGTCTATTGCGAGATCTATTTCAAGATGGGACCATGAACACCTTAGTAAGCCAAAAACTGCTGTGTTTTTTCCACTCTGTCAGGTCTGGATGACATCCAGAAACGGCTCACAAGATCGTCGTGTGATCATCATTGGGAACTACAAGCCGCTGGGTTTTGGCAAGAACATGCTGCAATTTCTGCCAGTCTGGAAGGGGTCGTTTGGTTGTCTTGAGTGAAGCTTCTTTACTAAGGCAGTGCAAGGTCGCCGAACAGATTGTTCACGAGCAGTTGTCGTTGCCTGGCGGCAATGCAAGTCAGCCATGCTTGGACCAGCACATTGTTATGGTCGTTGTGGGTGGGGTTGTTGTCACACAAGATACTTGTAGCTTGAACTCGCCGAAACGTGTTTTGCAACCCTGTTTCCAGTTTCCTCTGACCCTTATGCTGACGCTGCAGACAAGGACAGCAATGCAGGTTGATTGGCAAGACGCACAAACTGATATCATTCTTTTTGTGCGATCAGAAGCGGCCGGAATGGTAACAGGCAAGCAAGGCAGGACCTTACTGACCATACTGACCGCTCAAACAGATTTTCTGCTGCGTTTGAGCTTGTTCTTGATTAGTGGGAACTTGCTCCAAGTACTTGGCACGCGATGCCGCAACACCGTTTTT